ACAAGCCCAAAGTCGCTTATAATAAGCGGACTTGGCAACACTGATTGTGAGGGTCTTCTGGGAATGTCTGGCAGAGTTTCTTGTGAGACAGAGCTTTAACTCCCACCTCCGGGAGAGCTTCGAACATGTTCCGGGGGAGGCAGGGGACATTGAGTCCAAGTGGGCGTGTTCTGTGCCTCTATTGTTGAGGCGGCTTATCGGAGCTGTGGCCGCAAGGTTGTCAGTGCCTGTCGTGGCGGTAACCCTCGAACCTGGTGGTGGACACCGGCGGTGAGGGATGCTGCCATCATTCCTCTCTGTCACAGAGATGTTCACAGATGTTCACATCCTGGACAGAGAGGAATGATGGTTTGAGAGAGGAGTAAAGGAGGCCATCTTTATGAAAAGAAACCGTCCAGCATTAAACCGGGGTGGAGGCCTCATCAGTCCCCATCTTACAATGCTGTGATTGCTAGTATCACTCAGCCCTCTGTGAATAGTAAACAGCCATCAGGTGCTAATGATCCATTGTTAGGCTGATGGGCCTTCTTGACCATGTGAGCAGCTGGTTTTGGTTGTCAGCAGCAAACTGGTTGATCCACTCTGAGAAGGTGCTGTTTATAAGACTGAGCTGAGTACAGCACCTCAGACTGAGGAAGTCTTTGGGATGAGAGACGAAACGTTTCTACATTTTTTTGCTTTGTTGTGTTCTTTGGTTTTTATTGAATGTCCAGAGGACCAGATTGAACTTTTTTGGAAATTAAGCTACAATATGAAATAAGATAACATACAACAAACAGGAACTGTTGTTGTTGTTGTTGTTAACATTGTTGGTGTTATCAGTTGTTCTGATAGTATAAATGTTGTTGTTGTTATTATTACCAAAGTGATTAGGCCTGGGTATTTGGGGCTGTAGCCTCAAAAGTTTTCTATATAAAACCAGACCTCAAGACAAATTGGTATAAAACTTAATCTGCTGGATATGATGTATGGGGGTACAAGTTGGTGAAAATGCAAATGAACTGGAACCTGTCATGTAAACATCTGAAACAATTAGGTGACATCACAATGATGTAATCAGCACCTGTTGGTGTTTGTGCCTCAGTTGTTTTGCAGGTAAATGGTTCCAGTCACCTTCAGTTTCAGGTCGTGTCCTCTCTGCTCACAGTGTGTGCTGACACCTGGAACTCTAACTTGTCAGACTTTACCTGTCAGTACTTGGGATACAGGTAAGTTTCAACTGTCTGTACCTGGGCTATGGGGAGTTTTTACAGAGTTTTTAACTGTAGACTGTGAGGAGAATTACAGTCACAAACATGATCTCTATTCTTTTAATAGCAGTTGAGATTTTGAGTTACAGTAGGTGGAGAGTTAGGCGTTAGGGTTAAAAGTTAGATGTTAGGGTTAAGAGTTAGGTTAGAAATTAGCAGTTAGTGCTTAGACATAGTGTACAAGGTTACAGATTAGAGTAGGGTAGAGTTACAGTAGTACATCATAAAATTATATAGATTTTTTTTCCCACTGGAGATTTTCCCTATGGTCTGCCAGGGCCAGATTTAGGAGGATGGGGGCCCCTGGGCTGGAGTCAGGATGGGGGCCCCTGGGCTGGAGTCAATACTGTATATGGGGGCCCTATATATATACATATATGTATATATATATATATATATATATATATA